ACTCGTGAACATTTTTTTAAAAAAACTTGCCTAACTAATACACTTTTTTAGTACTCTGCTTTATTTGCAAACAGATTAATAAAAAATCGAGCACATACTTAATGTTTCTTCCACAATTTCACATTAATGAGATTGAAAAAGTAATCAATTGTGCATGAATTGTAAACACTTCTTTGCCAATAAATATGGCACAACTTTATAAAGTTGTGTCATAATTTCTAAAAGTGGGAAATCCACGCTCATTATCGTGCTTACATATTCTAAATCGTATTCAAAGAAAATAAAACATAACTTGTTGTAATATCCAATTGTGACTTGAAAGATAAATCACAAAAACTACCTATAAAGTTTGAACACAACACTCTCAAGAAGATGACGAAGATGACGAAGAATTATAAGTTCTTAATATATATAAATTCATTACTAACAAGAATATGATAGGTAAGAATTGATAGGAAGCTTCAAAACTCTCTTTTCATTATGAATTATAGTCTTCCTTATTTCCGGTTAAATACGTTACGAATACAAAACCAAATTGACTGATTAATAAATTTGGAAAAACTAAACAATCTATTTAAAACACCTCTGTAAAGTCAAATCGACTTATTAATGATATTTGAAAAAATAATGTAGTGCACTGTAATATAAAGGAAAAATTATAATCATACTCTTATATTTTATCGAAATTAACTACTTTATCCTTATATTTTTTATAATACACTACCACACCCTTGTATTTTTTATAATACACTACCATACCCTTATGTTTTTATTCCATCAAATATTGTTAGCCTTCCTTCCATTTTGTGTACTTTCAATTGTTAAATTGTCATGAAATGACATTAATGGCCTAACTAAAAGAAAAAATCAATTTTTGCCTTGATGGATCGCCGCCGCCGCCGCCACCTGAGAGATCAAGTTTGATTTTTCCACTGTCCAGCAAGAGACAACAGCTTCCAGTGAGCTTCTTTGAATAGGTAAGCCAAAATCAACTCCTCCCTCTCTTCTAAATATCTTCCCTCAATCAATTTCAAGTTTCATTGAAGCCTACTATGCATACAACTTTTATATGCAACCGCTAAGCCTACAGTGTGCTTTTAATCACAGATGAGTGAATAATATCGTATTGCGGTAGCTTTTTTCCTCTCCCTATTTGATCCACAAATATGAAATGTACAACGAAAAATAACAAGATAAAAATTAAAACATTTTCCTATTATTAGGCTATTAATATATGAATCACTGGAAAAGCAAACATCAGCATTTTTCGAATTGCACAAAGCTTTATTATAATTTATAACATCTTTAAAACAACAAACAAAGCTCTATTTTAGCTAGTGGAATAATAAACACGGTCTTGACACCCAAAATCCAAATTTGGGTTTTAGGTTTATTCAAGTAAGTCAAATTATCATTGTTGAGTTTCAAACACAAGGTGGCTCATGAATTTCAGGCTTATCTGTGAAAAAGGAAAGAGAGGAAGAAGAAGAGGATATTTTGGTTAAAAAAATTTATCTCTTTAGACTGTTAAGTTTTCTTTCACTTATGCATTAAAATCACAAAAAAAACTGGCGAAATGGAAGATAGTATAACAGATAGAAACTACAAGAGTATAGAAGTCTATTTTTAAAGACACAACGCTAAATTTTTTTTTTAATTTTCCCTAATATAAATTATAGTTGTTCTACTTTTATTTAATAACTTGGTATTGCTTTTAAACTACTAGGATTTTTTTGCCACGTCATAAGGAGCTTGTTATGTCATTAGTGAGTGCCACATCAGCATGAAAGTATAGATAGGTTATGATAGGCATATATACGTGTAAAATTTATCTCCCTTCCATATTGTATGTATTTGTAGTATTTCTGATAATTAATTCTCCTCATATTTTAGAAGACTATAAACTTTCTTATTGCTCTAGTTATCGATCCCTCATACACTTGCCTTAAGTCCAAGTTGATATTTCCACTAGGATGCTTATCGTCTCACCCCTTGTTGAATTGGATTTTCCCCTTAAGTCCATCTCTTTTCCACTATTAAAATCATCACCCAAATAAGGAGAAAGATCCCTCATATTGAATGTGGTAAATGTTGTAATCTCTAGGTAGATCAATCTTGCAGGTATTGTCATTCAACTTTCAATAACTCAAATGGTCCCGTGATGCTTGCCATCAATTTAGACTTCCTTTAATGTGAAAATTTTTTCTTTCTAAGGTAAAGTCGCACTAGATCTCCAAGTGCAAAATTTACTCTATTACGTCCTTTGTACTGTGCTTGCTATAAATTACACTTTTTTTTTTCTCAATTTACTTCCTCACACTTTCATGCATAGCTTTTACCAATTCAGCCTTTCTTTTTCCACCCTTAAAAAATTTTTCATTAATTGGAAGTAAAGCAAAATCAAAAGATGAAATAAGATTGAATCTACATAAGACTGAAAAACATATTGATGAGTGGTATTATGAACAATATGATTATAAGCAAGCTCAACAAATGCAAAGTATCCATTCCAATTCTTAAATTTTTTTTTTTTTTGACAACAATTCTAAGTAAGGTAGAGAGAGTGTGATTACCATTTCTGTTTGCTCATCAATTTAAGAATGACAAGCAATACTAAAGAGCAACCCCGTTCCAAGCTCTTTCCACAAAGTTGATAGGTGTTATTTTTATAATATTTTTAATATGGTTTTTATTAGGATTTGTAGTATTTTTAATTACTTTAATTAATTTTTATTTATGTTTTTGTTAGCTCTTTCCACAAAGTTGATAGGTTGTTATTTTATAATATTTTTAATATTGGTTTAGGTGTTATTTTTATAATATTTTTAATATGGTTTTTATTAGGATTTGTAGTATTTTTAATTACTTTAATTAATTTTTATTTATGTTTTTGTTCAAAGTTCCCTTGAATCATGATGCACTTAATCTTAAGGAAATTTGTAGGGTTTTGGCATAGAAAAGAGTAAAATAAAGCAATACACTCATGCCTTGCCGGTGCTAGTTAGCACGCCCATGCTGGATTTAAGGAAAATCAAGTGAAGATTCAGACTCTAGCGCGCCTGGACCGTGGTTGAGAGAAATTTAAAGTCTAATGGAAATTTTGTGCCCTTAAAACAAGGAGAATTTTATTCCCTTAAAATAAGGAGAATTTATTCCCTTAAAATAAGGAGAATTATTCCCTTAAAATAAGGAGAATTATTCCCTTAACTAAAGAAGGTGGGATTTCTCTCTCATGAAGTCTATATAAAGAGAGGAGGAATTCATTGTAAGGGCATCTCTCATTCTATTATTCTTGTACATAGTTTTCTCCTTTTAGAAGTTAAGTATTCAAGAGTTGTGCAAGATTTCAAGGAAGTCATTCAAGCAATTTATCACTAGTTCTTATTTCTAAACTCTTAATCTTGTTTATTTCTTTCATTATTCTTATTGATTATGGAATATTTATCAAGTATTATCAAGTTATTGTTTGAGTTTTACTTAAGTTACTATGTGTAACTTAAAATTCTTATTACTAGAGGTTTGATTGTAGCTTAATTCTTTTCTAATTTATGCAATTAGATTTATTTTTCCTTATTCAAAAAAAAAAAAAGTTATTGATTTTAAATGAACTTAATGCTATATAAGCCAGAATTTCTCCTAGATTGATTATTTCAAAATATCACTATCGCGAAGGAAGGATTCTTGATAATGAAAATAGGTTAATTAAAACACATAAGAATAATAACTTTGATGCGGAAGCTATATTGGTTTGACTCATAGGGGGTTTTTATGATTTATTCAACCTTAAATTTGAAATTCATAAACAACTACATAGCTTATTATTTAATTCATAGGTGATTTAATTCATAGTTAATTACGCTATTGGAAGATAGGTAATTAAATGGAATTAAAATAACTAGCAATACATTGGAAGAGCTTGCTAGTGAATTCAGAATTGTTTTCCCTACTTGAATAATTAAATTGATTAGTAAACTAATGAAATAAATTAGATAGAATTAAGTGAAATTAAAACCCCTAGTAGCTTTACTTCCTTGATTTCTTTTAATCAAATATTCTTGCTTGATCCCTTCTTATTCTCTTTTATTTGCTGAATTTAGTTTCTAAAAATAATTTCCCTTAGTTTCTAAAACCCCTAGTTGCCGTTTAAATAATAATAGGTTAACATAATTTTGGTAATTGGTATACAATCCCTATGGACACGATACTCTACTTATTCTATATTACTTGTAGCGATTTTCGTATACTTGCGAAAAATCATTGTCAAGTTTTTGGCGCCGTTGCCGGGGAATGGCATTACCAATATCAATACGAATTATCCTATTATTAATTTAGACATTATTTAGACATTTATTTGTTTAATTGTTTTTGTTCATTTTAAATTTCTAAAGAATATCTCAGGTTTTATGCATAAGAAGATATGCAAAGAAGATCAGGAAGAACTGAACCCCTGATTTTTGATCCAGAAGTTGAGAAAACTTGCCGTAGAAACAACGCCGCTAGAAGAGCACGAGAAAACAGGTTAGAACAACAAGCAAATATGGACGACGAAATCAATCCTCAACCTCAGAACAGACCCCTTGCTGTAAATCCTCAAATCAGACATCAAGCTAATGTTCGCACCTTGCGAGATTATACCACACCTTCTCTTAATGGAGCTACTTCAAGTATCACTGGACCAAGAGTGGAAGCTAATAATTTTGAAATTAAACCAGCAATTATTAAGATGCTTTCCACTTCGATTCAATATGGAGGTCTACCTAGTGAAGACCCTAACGCTCACATCACAAATTTCCTGGAGATTTGTGATACATTCAAACAAAATGGTGTTTCTGAAGATTAAGATGCCCCATTAAAATTGAGACTCTTTCCTTTCACTACTTAGAGACAAGGCACGCATCTTGGTTGCAATCATGTCCTGCTAGAAGTTTTGAAGTTTTACAACTTGGGAAGAATTAGCTCAAAAATTTTTAGCAAAATTCTTTCCATCTTCTAAAACTACAAAATTGCGAAATGAGATTATGACCTTTGTTCTTCATGATCAAGAAAGCTTGTATGAAGCTTGGGAAACATTTAAAGATTTATTAAGAAAATGCCCTCACCATAGTTTGCCTAAGTGGTTACAAGTTCAAACTTTTTATAATGCATTGTCACCTAATATTAAGATTACTTTGGATGTAGCTGCAAGAGGATCTTTTGAAAGAAAAGAGATCGATGAAGCATATGATTTAATAGAAGAAATGGCAAGCAACAGCCATTATCAAAGCAATTCCGAGAGAAGGAAGGAAAACTGCAGGAAATATTATGAGATCGATTGCTATCACTGCACTCAATGCTAAGGTGGACAACATGGTAAGAAAGTTAGATTTATAACCACTAAATCTGTGAATTACCGTTATGCAAGCTTATGACAGATGCATACGAACAACATGGAATTGGAGAATGCATGGCTTAGATTTCTGCCAAATCCTCAAACCTTGGAGCAAGTGAATTACGTGATGAATCAAGGGAAAGGAATTACCCATACTCCCAAATTTTCTTACGATAATAGGTGAGAAAATCATCCTAATCTTTCATTATAGGTAATCCTAATAATACCTTGAATGCACCATTAGGTCATACCTCTAGGAGAGAAAGTTCTCATGATGATCTCCTTCACTGCCCTCTCTAAATCACACATGGATTTCATGAACGAAACTAGAGAAAACAAATTAAAATCCAACAAGCCTGCGATGAAGCTGCGATAAGGAACTTGGAGATTCAGATGGGACAATTTGCAAACATGATGGCATCCCGACCCCAAGGTACGTTACCTAGTAATACTGAGAAAAATCTTAAAGAACAGGTACAAGCTATCACCTTAAGGAGTGGCAAACAGTTGGAGGATACGCCCAGGATTGAGAGAGAGAAGGAAAAGCAGAGAAAGGTTCCCATCATTAACCTAGAAGAGAAGGAAGAAGTGAAACCTTATGTTCCACCTGTCCCTTTTCCACAAAGGTTGAAGAAAACGCAAGACGACAAGAGCTTCCTCAAATTTCTTGACTGACATTTTCAAAAAGCTTCAAATTAAAACATTACCTTTTGCCTGAAGCTCTTGCTATCAACATCCCTTTTGCTGAAGCTCTCGCTCAAATGCTTAGCTATGCAAAATTTCTAAAAAAGATCCTAAGCAAGAAATAAAAAATTGATGATCAAGGAACAGTAATGTTAACTGAAGAGTGCAGTGCAATTATTCAAAATAAATTGCCTCCAAAGTTGAAAGATCTAGGAAGTTTTTCTATCCCTTGTAATATTGGTATTCTTGATTTCGAAAAAGCTTTAGCAGATTTAGGTGCCAGCGTTAACCTTATGTCTTATGAAGTTTTTAAGATGCTAGGGATGGAAGAGCTAAAACCAACAAGGATGTCTCTACAATTGGCAGATCGATCAATCAAATATCGATTGCTAGAAGATTGTGCTATACAAGGTAGGTAAAGTTTATCTTTCCTGTTTTGATTTTGTTTTATCCTTGACATTGATGAAGGTAGAGGAAGGATTAGAGAAGGATCCTTAATCCTTGGAAGACCATTTCTTGCAACTGCAAGAGCATTGATTGATGTACATGAAGGAAAATTAACCTTGAGAGTGGGTCAAGAGGACGTTGTATTTAACGTTTTAAGATCTTGTAAACTTCCTATGGATTATGATGATTGTTTTAGGATTGATGTTATTCATGAATGTGTAAAGGACACTCTGCATATTGAAGATAATAATAACATTAATCCAAGAATCATAGATGAGAAGGAAAGTGAACCACCAAAGCAAGAACTGAAACATCTTCCATCTCATTTAAAACATGCATTCTTAGGTGGAGAATAATTCTTTTTCCTATTATTATTTCTCTTCATCACTTAACACTTGATCAAGAGGAAAGGCTATTTGCAGGTTTCTACGAAAACATAGAAAAGCTTTAGGATTGGTCAATTTCAGATTTTGCAGGGGATAAGTCCAAGTGTATGCATGCACAAGGATCTTGATGGAGGAAGGATTACAAACCTTCAATTGAGCATCAAAAAAAGATGAACCCGAATATGAAGGAGGTTGCGTCAAAATTTTTAGTGTTTCAGGCTTACTACGGGCCTCGGGGGCCTTAAGCTTACCTGGGCCCTAGTGCCGGTCCGGCCCATGGAAACAGGTCGTGACACAAAGAAACGAGGTATGACAGTTATTTCCAACAAAAATAATGAGTTAATTTAAACTCGAACTGTTATAGGTTGGCGTGTGTGCATTGATTACAGGAAATTGAACAAAGCAACATGCAAGGATCATTTTCCCCTACCTTTTATTGATCAAATGCTTGAAAGACTTGTAGGTTATCCTTACTATTGCTTTCTAGATGTTTATTCAGGGTATTTCCAAATACCTATTGCTCCCGAGGATCAAGAGAAAACCACTTTCACTTGCCCGTACGGTACTTTTGCCTGCAGGAGAATGCCTTTTGGGTTGTGCAATGCTCTTGCAACTTTTCAGAGGTGCATGATGTCCTATCTTTTCTGACATGGTTGATGACATGGTTGAGAAATTCATTGAAATATTTATGGATGATTTTTCTATGTTTGGTTCTTCTTTTGATTCTTGTCTTTATAACCTCTCATTAGTAATACAGCGATGCGAGGACACTAACCTTGTTTTGAACTGGGAAAAATGTCATTTCATGGCTAGTGAAGGAATTGTTTTAGGCCATAAAATCTCACGGAAGGGGATTGAAGTGGATAAGGCCAAGGTGGAGGTAATTGAAAAGCTACCGCCTCCAAATTCAGTAAAGGGAGTTAGAAGCTTTCTTGGCCATGCCGAATTTTACAGGAGATTTATCAAATATTTCTCCAAAATCACGAAACCTCTTTGTAATTTGTTAGTTAAAGATGTTCCTTTCAATTTTGACGAAGAGTGTTTAAATGCCTTTAACAGATTAAAGATTAAAGAAAGAAGCTGACTTCAGCACCCATCATGCTACACCAGATTGGGAGTCACCCCTTCGAGCTTATGTGTGATGCTAGTGATCATTGACCTATTGGAAGCTGTTCTTGGGCAGAGAAGAGAAAAGAAATTTGCATGTCATTATTATGCCTTAGTCGCCACATTAAATGAATGCACAAGTTAAAAACCTATGCCACTTACTGAAAAAGAATTCTTGGCCATTGTTTTTTGCTTTTGATTAAAGTTTTTGCTTTTGATAAATTTAGAGCTTATCTAATTGGAGCTAAAACAATAGTGTACACTGATCACTCTGCCATTAAATATCTATTAGAAAAGAAAGATTCAAAGCCGAGATTAATTCGTTGGGTTCTTCTTTTACAGGAATTTGATTTAGAAATTCGCGATAAAAAAGGAACCGAGAATCTTGTAGCGGATCATTTATCTAGGCTTGAGTTGGGGGATGATGAACAGGCAGATTTGAATATCAATGAAGATTTCCCCCATGAACATCTTTTTCTTCTAGCTAAGGCTAAAGCTCCCTGGTATGCTGATATAGTCAACTACCTTGCTTGCAAAATCACTCCTCCCAATCTTTCTTATCAACAAAAGAAAAAATTTTTTCATGATCTTATAAATACTATTATTGGGAGGAGCCATTTTTGTTCAAGTATGGTATGACCAGCTCTTTCGACGATGCCATACCGGACGAGAGATAGAAAGCTGGTCCTTCGATTTTGCCATTCAAGAATGTGGAGGACATTTTAGAGCAAAGCAAGACGGCAGCGCGGATTTTAGAAAGCGGTTTATAATGGCCTAACTTTTATTTTAAGGATGCCTTAATTTTGGTTCGTTCTTTGTGACCGTTGTCAAAGGTTAGGCAATATTTCCAAAAGCGACATGAAATGCCACTAAACAACATCCTTGAAGTGGAAGATATTTGGATGTTTGGGGCTTGGATTCATGGGGGCCTTTTCCATCAACAATCCAACCAATACATTCTAGTAGCGGTTGGGACTTTATGTTTCAAATGAGGTGGAAGCTGTTGCCCTTCCCAATAATGATGCCCAAAAGTTGTGATTGAGCTCATCAAGAAATATCATCAAGAAATATATTTTCACACGACATGGTACTCCAAGAGCAATAATCACAGATGGAGGTAAGCACTTCTGTAACAAGTACTTAGATTCCCTTCTTTCTAGATATGGTGTTACTCATCGTGTAGGTACCCCATATCACCCTCAAACGAGTGGACAAGTGGAAGTCACTAATAGGGAAATCAAGAAGATATTGGAGACCACGGTTGGGCAATCAAGGAAGGACTGGTCCAAAAAAACTCGATGATGCTCTTTGGGCCTATAGAACTGCATTCAAAACACCAATTGGCATGTCTCCATATCGAATGGTATACGGTAAGGCTTGTCACCTCGAAAGCTAGAGCACAAAGGCATATTGGGCAATCCAATTTCCTTAACTTTGATTTACTAAGGAAGTTTGGGTCAAAAGAGGCTGCTTCCAATTAAACATATGGATGAAATGAGCTTCCATGCTTATTTGAAAAATGCCCCAAAATCTATAAAGATCGCACCAAACAACGGATGATAAGCTATTATCCTACGGAATCTAATGAGTAGGCCACAGGTATACTCTACAACTCTAGACTCCGGTCTTTTTCCAGGGAAAAACTGTGCTCAAGATGGTCTGGCCCCCTCAAGATGGTCTGGCCCATTCACGATTAAAGAAATTTTCCCGCATGGAGCAATTGAGATAATGGATGGTGACCGAAGTTTCAAGGTTAATGCTCAACTTTTAAAGGTTTACCAAAGTGGAAACTTTGATCCCGTTAAAACTGCTATAAGTCTTGATTAGCTTGAATCAGGTTCAGTACGTTGAGCTTAACGACGTTAAATGAAAGCGCTTGTGGGAGACAACCCATTTTATTTTCTTTTGATTTTGATTTAATTGTTGCTTTTCAGTTTCTACCTTGGATATTATATATTGTTGTTTTTAGTGTTTTTTCTGACTTTATAGCTTTGCTAAACTCCAACACCCGGCTCTATTGTATTTTTCAATACAATGATGGTAATAATCACTACACTTTCTTACTCTTTTTGTTACATTATTGATAATATGATAAGTTTGGGGAATTGAATAAAG